TACCAATTTATACTTTACAGCTTACAGCATCACAGTAGCACTGAAATGTGTCCTCTTTTTGCCTGCAAGCAAAGCATAACCTGTGCTTTGTCCACCCATTCTCTATCTAAACTGCTTATCAAGTGCAGGAGATCATTCCTATCTGGAAAGGTCACCAGTCTGGGTCTATAACTCAAAGACTGACTGTAAATACAGTCACATATAGACAGACATTCACACTACTGTATTAACTGTAGTGTGAGCATATTAGCATTATAAGCTGAATCTCTTACCCAGGTTGTGAGGATCTTTCTCTCTCGCCTCCCACACTTTGGTGTCTGTGTAAGCTGCTGAGAGCAACCATCTTCTGGCTGCAAAGGCAAACAGTCATCTAGGTCACGTAAATACAAGCACCACATGTATATAAGCTGGTAAACATTACTTTAAGGAATCATAGAGACAGCAAACAGCAGAGTGTTAAAACCTGAGTTTTGAAAGTAACGTTAGCCGGTTAATGTAGCCACATTTAGCTAACAACATGAACTGCGGACATTTAGCTCTTAAACACCCAAATAACGACAATGAAGGACAAAGAAATTAAAGTTATGCAAAGAAATGCATCCGTTTCAAACTATGACTTAATCGTGACTTGATTCAAGATGTATTTACCTAACAGAGACGGAGATAAACATTTAACTTTGACAGCTGAAGTCACACATCGCTTCCACACGGAGGCTGCCATCTTTGGACGATACCATTTTCTGTACAGGACAAGGGGGGGGGGGTTAATACGTCACTTAAAGTGACATAAACGGGTTATACCAAAAGTGAGACCTAGTCATAGACTGTAAAAATAATCTAGCAAACATAACGAAAATCTTATAAATTAGTCCTTTGAACAGAAAAAGTATTTAGGCAAACATTCACGGTGAATAACGCTGTAATACGCAAAAAGAGCCCGAATCAACTTTTTTTCCCCCAATCTTTATTTACAACAAAACCTCCAACCATTTAGTCTATTAAAGCCCAGTCACTTTTTAAATTTTTATTTTTTATTTTTTAATTAGTTTGATTTTTAAATTATTTTTTAAAGATGAAATTAAACCAAAATTATGATAAAATAAAATATAATAAAATAAAATATATCTTTGGAGTTCCTCGAGCAACACACAGAAATAATGTGTGGAGCCTATCCATTTAGATTTATTGATGTGAAATTTATCTTCAGTTATAAGCAATTTATATAGAAAATGTTCACTTCTGACTAACAAACTACAACATCAAAAATAAAAAAATACCCCCCCCCTCCCCCCCCCAAAAGAAAAATACAGAATAAATAAATAATAAAACTTATGCTGTGATGGGAGTGTGCTTTGAGAAAAATATAGGAGAAATCTCTTGAATACAAAAATCTTTTTATTTACAAAGGGAGCAGGACACTTGAAAACGCAGTACTGATAATGTGACAACAGAGGGCGCTGTTTACATAAAGAAGAGGCAGACCAGATAAACACACTGATGTAGAAGTGCAGCAGCTTTACTTTGCCATATGGCACTGAAATTAAAGCCACAAAAAGTGCCAGTGTTTGTTACTCAGCATCATGGGTGACAGCTTCTTGCAGCTTGTCTAGACATTAGATTTGTCAGGTCATGTTTAAAAGATTGCAGACAATCCCTGACACATCCTCAAAAATAAAGCAAAAGGGATGCTGGGACCCTTACATGGGAGCTAATCTGTTTAACTTTTGCAGAATTTACTTTAAACGTGTATTTGTCTGTGCAGTGCAGGGCCGTTGACCTGTTGTCCCCTCACCTCTCTGTCAGTGCTTTTGTTTTTTAAGAGGACGGCCCTTAACTATAATTACAGTAAACCTTCTTGGCTGCGAGTCAAAGGAGGTTACAGGTTGAGACCAGGGTGGGACAGTTTTGTTAAACAAAACGTGGAAGAATTTTAGCACCATCTCGTTTTCTCATTCGCCAGCAAAACAGGAAGCTCTTACCGAGCCGCACTGGGGAGTACTGTCAGGAAATAAACATTTCTACACGCACAAGTGGGGATACAGCCATCTTTTCAGGAATATACTCTGACTATTCTCTATTCTGTTCTATTGTTTTGATTTGTTGGTGCTGTGCTCTGTCCTCTTCTTGGTGTTTTTGGAGCCGATACTTAGTGTGCAATTAATTTCTACAAAAGTCCCACCTGAAACTTCCTCCCACTGTATTCTTCTCATGTGAAAAGTGTTTGCAGACTGGGCCTGGTGATGCAGAAGTCAGAAGTATTTGTTTTCAGTATCAAAGTTACGTGTATCTTCTGTCTGCTTCCTTTTTATTTCATAGCATCAAATACAGCACATTAGTGTCTGAATAGTTAAGTGAGCCTGTCCCTGCTGACTCTGGGCGAAAGGCGGGGTACACCCTGGACAGGTCGCCAGACTATCACAGGCTTGACACATAGAGACAGACAACCATTCACACTCACATTCACACCTACGGCCAATTTAGAGTCACCAATTAACCTGCATGTCTTTGGACTGTGGGAGGAAGCCGGAGTACCCAGAGAAAACCCACACTGACATGGGGAGAACATGCAAACTCCACACAAAAGGGCTCCCCCACCCCGTTGTTCAAACCAGGAACTTTCTTGCTGTGAGGCGACAATGCTAACCACTGTACCACCATGCCGCCAAGTTAAAAACAAGCATTAGGCTATAGAAATCATGTGTAAGAGGATGGAATAAATTCCCGCAGAGCCAAAAAGGTATATAAAAGTTAAGATATAGATAACAAAGCAAAATCACAGTATTTTTTACTCGAGGACCTTTATAAGGACAACATAATTTTAACCGAATGAGAAAAAGAGTTCTATAAATGAACTTAAGATTAGTGTGTGGTTGAGTAGAGGTGAGCATTAAGTGTTCAAGTTAGTAGTATAGAAAACATATTTGTGTATTATGTTTTTCTGCCTTCCCCCAATTAATCATGTCATAACCCCTTAAAGTTATCTTGTGTCCCTTTGGAGTGGGTGACCCCAAGGTTGGGAATCGCTGGACTACACTACCCAACTGTTTAGTTAATAAAAATTAAATCTAACCAGCACAGTCACCAGAAGAAACTGTTTGCATTGAGCATTTCTGCAAACCAAGCATATGTTACATTTGTAGGTTTCATACATATCATATCAGCATTTCTAATGTGATGTAGTTTATGAGCTGACTGTGATCTGGAGGTGGAGGGGGTGGTGGATGGCATGTCACCAAGGCAAGACGTCTGCCAAGCTGCAGACTGCTGCTCAAGACCAACAAACAACAAAACTGGATGTGTTTCAGCGAGACATCACTGTTTTTCCAGCACGTTTTTAGCCCCCAGATGTGAATGTTTTTGCTGTTTCTCCACTGGAGATAGTGCCATGAATTGCATTTCTTGTGTACTGAGACATCACTGCATTTACAGGTGGGATTGTGCCAGGCCAAAACATAATCTTTTCCTAACCACGTGTGCCTGAACATAAGCAGATGTTAACCATTACAGAAAAGTAAAGACAAATAATGTCTGCTACGTGCAATTCTAACATATCTATGTTTTGCAGAAATGTAAAATGCCAACAATTCTTCTGGCAATATGGTTGAACTTACTGCACCTCAACCAGCTACAACAGTAAAATACTGCTTGCACAATGATGCATCAGGATTACTGCAGCAATCTAATGTTATATATGATTATATGTCATTTTACTGCAGAATGACTACTTCTACTTTGATACTTTAAATACACTTTACTGATCATCCTTTTTTGAAAGAAGATTTTCTTAAGAATGATTTTAAGTGCAATACTTTTACTTGTACAAAGTATTTTACCCTGATGTATTTATACTTTTACCCAAGTAGAGGATCTGAGTATTTCTTCCACCACTGATATTTGGAGCCTGAACCTCACAATGTCCCAATCTGCCAAAGAAAAATGGTAAATAATGTTTTTATTTATATATGTTTAAAGCCATTGTCACATCCTGTGCAACAGTAAATGTGTAACATCAACCCTTTCATACCACGGGATTCATTTTCCCATCACGCCACTCTCTACCTGTCCTCCTGTGTCTGGCTGATCTTTGCATTCTCATGATCTCTAAAGTTTCAGTTCAGTAAAAACACACACAGGAGTGATAGAATTACCTTATGTAACACAGTCTTTCCTGAATCTCTGAGGTGTGGTCAGTTATGTATGTTGTTCCTCACAGTTTGCACAATATGATGCCGCTCAGAGGGGCTGATTCTCGATAGGAGACGGTGATACAAACAGTGAGTCCACCCTCTGCGGCTCATCTCTGGAGCCAGTGGTTGGGATTGAAACATGTAGGTGAGGAAAGGAAAGGAGAGGAGGATGTGAGAACTTCCTCAAACTGTTTGCAGTTTCGCCCTTTAGGACACGGTGGTCGTCATTGGTAGAAATAGAGAAGCTGCTGTTCTGCATTTCATCTGACAAGAAATGGCTCAGTGTTTACCTGAACTGGCACAGCAGAGTGAGCTACAGTGAGACACCACAGCCCAGTGAGCTTCATGTTATAATGAAACATAGTATGTTTTCAATAACTTTATAATATGAGATATATGAGACATGATGCACTGTGTGATAATGTGTCTTCTTCCACTTTGCAATAAAGAAACTTTTTCATTCCAGGTAGTATTTCTATTTTCAGTGAGGCTTCTGCAATGAGCAGAAACAATGCTTTATTCTGAGTCATACAGACATATGAAGCCTTTGTCTGGGACACCCACTGTGTCCGTCACTGCTGTTTGATCGCAACCTAAAAGAGAGAAGGGGAGAGGTGTTTTCTCTTCCTCTTCCTCTGCTTTGAAAGAGAAGCAGGAGGAGAAAGGCAAGCTTTTTGAAACTCACGGCAATCATCTCTGGCTTGGTGAAGTACGTGTCTGACGGAGAGGATTAAGATTTCATATCTGGGTTTATATTCTTTAAAAACAGCCGTAGCGATGTTTATGAGGTGTTAAAAACACAAAAACAGCAGGTTTATTGCACAGGTTCATGCTTTTATTTTTGTATTTGTCTTGCAAAATCACATTCAGGTGACCAATACACTGCCTTACAATAATCTCACCAAAAAATTGAACTAACAAAAGCATATAGATTAAAAAAAAAAACACTAAACATGAGTCATTAAAACAAAGACGCTTAAAGAGAGGAAGCCAAGCTTTGTCCTATCTGTGTCACAATGTCCCCCAAACAAACAAAAATAACACATTTTTTAATTTTACTACACATTTAAGAGTCAAAGTTAAAACAAAATTGCATATCTTAGTCAATATTGCAAATGTGTTTGTAGAAAAACAAAAATATTTTTGCATTTTATTCACAAAGCCACTCCCTAATCATACTTGTCCGTTCATAAATGCACATTAACCTCTTGTCAATGACTATTAATCAGTGTGTGATATGTTCTGTACATGCAATATGCTTCACAGCTTTGTATTTCAGTTACTTCACTTTTACTTTGTGCTCTGTTAAACAACACGATATGTTCATCTTTCCTTTTTTTTTGTGCTAAGCTACTATATCACATCCTCCATAATCAGTTTCATGTAGAGACCTACGTACTTTCCTTCCACTTTCCTGTCAGAAAAACCACCAGCCTTCTTTTAAAACCAACCCAGTCACCTGAAAAAATGTGGGCATTGTACGTTTCTGCAAACCACAGGTATGTTACATGTTGAAACCTAACGTTTGTTGAATGTGTGGTTAGGTATAGGCACAAGAACCAGGTGGTTATGATTAGAAAAAGATCATGTTTTGGCTTAAATAACCAGATTTTGGGGCACTACCTCTGCTTGAGAAACAACAGTGGGTGACTAATAAACACCTATGTTTGGTGGCTAAAAAGCTGCTGGAAACACAGCAATTAACAGCTAAAAAACAACAGGTTTTGTTGTTTGTTGGTCTCAAACAGTGGTCTGTTGTGGTCTGTAGCTTGGCAGGCATCACACCTAGGTGACACACCATAAACCATCCCCTCCATCCCCCGATCACAAAGTCAGTTCATATACTATGTCACTTTGGAAACATTAAATTGATATGTATGAAACATAAAAATGTGATGTATTCATGGTTTGCAGAAACGCACAATGCCAGCATTTTCCTCTGATATCAGGGCTGCTAAAAACCTGCATCTTCGCCTCATTCTTCGTCTACTTTGTCTTTCTCTTCATCCTGTGGACCCGTTACACCCATGAATTCACTTGTGCGCAAGCGACGCACTATTTCACCTTTCTCCGATCTGTTCTGGTTCCTCCCTGCTACATCAATGGCTGTGTCACTAAAGCCATCCATCTGCTGTTCACTTTGCTCTGGCTCATCTAGCTCTTGGTGATCATCTTCTAGTTCTGAATCAGAGTCATAATCATACATCTGTCTCCGGCCTGTCTCATGGTGGTACACCTGGTCACCTAGCTCTAAATCAGACTCATAGGCCATCTCCGATGTCTCTTCTGACTGTAAGAGGTCCGCCTGGTCACCTCCTTCTGCTGCTGACTCCCTCTGTTCATCTAAGCTATGCTGATACATTTCTTTCTGCTTCTCCCCTGTCTTGTGATCAGCTGGAGACCCCTGCTGTCTCTCCTCCAGCTCAGGGATGTACTGGTCCTCGCCTGCCGGCTCATGTTGGTCCACCTCAGGGCTGTACTGGCTCCTTCTGTACAAACTCTCCTCATCCTCCTCCTGACACGAGCTTCCAGGGACGCTCTCACCATCAGACTGGGAGAGGCGGAGGCTAGGCAGGCCTGGGGGCTTCTGGGAGAGGTCAAATGGCTCCTCCTGGCTGAAGCGGGTGAGGAGGCCCATGGGAGTGGACAGGCAGAATCGCCCTCTTTGCCTAAACACTGAAATCAGAGAAGTAAGTCATTACATTGAGTAACTTTTGCAGCAAGAAATTAATACACCATCTACAATGTGTGCATCCTTACATCTTTCATCCAGCCCTCTGTCCATGACGCCATGTTTGACCTTCATGTGTCTGGTGAGGTTCCCCTTCAGCGTGAACTTGCTTGGGCAGTAAAGGCATTTGAAGGGTTTGCTGTCTGAGTGGAGATGCATGTGGCCCATGAGGTTGTGCATCCTGTTGAACTCCTTCCCACAAAGCTGGAAGACAAAGGGAGACAAGTGTGTGATTAGGTAAATTGAAATTAGCAAAATAAGACATTAAGCCACAACCAGCAGCTCTGTAGCTCGCTCTGTCGGTTGGTCAATTGGTCGGTCCCAAAATCTTTCCACCCTTTTTTCAGGCCACATTTTTAGCCCTAGCAGGCTAATATTTGGCTAAAAGGGTGGGTGGGCAGAGCGGGTGGTAGCAATGGGAGTGCAAAAAGGCATATAACTTCAAAGTGGATTTGCGGACTTGCATAAGATTTTGTGGAAAGACTGGTCATTAGCCAAAGGACAGCTGAGTAACTGTTCATGTCAGTTGGCAAAAAGGGGGCACCATGTGGTTGCATGGGCATATGTGGTCACAGCCATTGCATATTTGCGCTTTGCTTAATACACAGTATAAACAGTGATGTATGTCTATGCATTCTGTATGGCTGATGTAAAATTGGGCAAAGTAACTCCCTGGTTACCTGCATGGAACCAGGCAAAGCCAAGAAATAGTCTCACAAAAACCCCCAATACATTCTCACTCCGACCTCGTCACATATCGACGTTTGGTCATGGACCTTCCACGTCCAGATACAACATGAAAGGTACCCTGAGTGCATTGGTTGTTGAGGTTCTGGGATGCTGTGTCAAGCTCTTCCTGTTACATGCACTGTCTTACTTCAAAATACACTTCCATTTTCACAGAAAATTTACCGTTTACAAACAGTCTCTTAAAAAATAAATGCACTGCGCCAGTAAAACACTGGGAATTGACTTTTCTTTCTGCCAACAACTAACTCATGTGGTTGGGTTTAGGCCACAAAAGCACATCGTTAGTTATAGGAAAAACAACAGGGTTTTGCACTCCAGGTTTGTTGGACCCATCGACTACCCCTTCCAACCAACCTAGCCTACCCTACTCGGACTTTCGCCACCTTAACTTTTGTTATTGTCCCATCGTGTTTCTCCCTGATGCCACAGAGCGCCATTAAACGATAATGGTAACTGGCTGCATATCACGCCAACGTTAAAGGACGGATTTTCGTCAGTGTCTGGCAAGTCATTGCCCAAGTGCTGGATTTCGACGACTCTGGAGTGAGTCCGGGTTGAAAACTCTCCTATTAAAATGGTGAATCATCGTTTTTACACTACAATTTTCATATAGATTAAATAAATGAGACATAATGTGTCAATAAATGAGTTTCAGAAGTGCTGGTAGGTGCATTTTTTTTACCATTAGACAGAGCCAGGCTACATATTTACTTTATGAATATAAGAGTAGTATCCTCTCAAGACAGCAAATAAACATATTTCATCTGTCCAACTATTCCTTTAAGTAAAAGTAGTGCTAATTTAATCTGTCACAAGTAAACATCCTGCATTTAAAACTTTGCTTAAGTAAAAGTACAGGCATACTATCAGCAAAGTCTACATAAAGTACGGAAAGTGAGGGTAGTCATTTTGGAAAATGCCACATTAAAAAAGGGGTCATGGTTAGAGCTAGTACAAGCGAAAAGGGTTGAGTGAGTAAAAATTAGGTGTAAGTCAGTAAGTCAGTGTTTTCCTTTAAAATTGTAGTGAAAGTAAAAGTAGCAGAAACAGGTAACTCTCAGCTCAGTATAAGCAGCTCAAAATAGCATGCAAGCACAGTACTTGATTACTTTCCTCCACTGGTTGTAAACACTATTTGAGGATACAAAAACAATAGGCCAGCACTATCCACCTATTATTTTTCTTTCTCTGCCAGAACTCCTTTGTTAGATGACTAATTTTCGTAGACTGCCGAGTTGTAGGGCTACACGTAATCATGAATGAATGTGCAGGCATTCAGATATACATAGACACACGCCCTTCTCTCCCTCCTCCTATCCTTGTTTTCCTCCTTTCCTCTTTGTCTTCCCCCCTCTCTCTCTCACTCCCCAACGCACACACACACACACACACAAGAAAAACAGAAAGAGAGAGGAAGCAACATCGAGACAGGGCCAGGAGGAGAACAGGGAAGGGCAACTCCTGCGCTGTCCTTCCTCTGCATTCTTTTTTATTAGGGTGGTCCTTTCCTTCAGGAGGAGAGAGGGACTGTAAACTGTCCAAGAGGACCGTGAGAAAACAGGAAGCTCCCTCCAGCAGCAGAGAAAGCGAGATGAAATCTATTTGAGGGCCCTGTTCTCCGGGGAGGCTGGGGGGCCATTGTTAGAGAGGCAGTTTGTGTGGCGATATCCTTCCTATGGACAAGGAGGCTCTTACTGCCAAAAGCCTCTCTGCTATCTGGTCATCGTCTCAGTCCTAAACACCAAGGTCAAAGCGCACACTCCAGAAAAGTGGAGAATTCCTTTAATAGCAGCTGCCACTGAATATTAAAGGTTTGGGTCTTGGCTGCCATTATCAATAAATATACATTGGTTAATTTAGTTTACAATAAAAGCAAGTCCTGAAGCCTTAATCAGACAGGAGAGAATATTAAAGGGATAGTTGGACAATATGTAAAATACATTCAATTGCTTTCTTTCCAAGAGTGAGATGAGAATATCAATACCTCTATCGTGTCTGACATTAAGTATGAAGATAAAGTCAGCAGCCCTTTAGCTTAGCACAAAGACTGGAAACCGGTAACAAAATCTGCCACAAAACCATTTGTGTTTTTGCATCAGTTAAACAATTCAAATATAATGTGTTAATTAGTGATCTTTAGAGGTGGTGCAAGGTATATTTTATACCTATGGACAGATCCAAGCCAGCAGTTTCACCTTGTTTCCAGTCTTTGTGCTACGCTAAGCTAACTATGTGTGCTAACTATTCCTTTACCATAGACTATATAAAGTGGATGTAGCCACTGCGATGTCACCCGTAAGTTTGGGGACTACCATTGTAAAGCCTTGAGTCTGGCATTTTGGCTATCGCCATCATCATACTCGGAACCAGAAGTGACCAGATTTGGACAAGAGAGTGGAGTTGTGGAGGAGCGAGGGATGGATTGGACTGACAACCCGAGGACACAACAATGGTAGCGATGTGTCAATCACAAGGAAGCCCTAAACCTAAATCTGCTTTATTGTCTTTCATTCTAGATGGGACCATAATTTACAAAATGAACGCCATGCTGTATTGAAGAAGACTTGAAATTAGCGTTTGAGACCATAAACTCATTAGTGAAATTTTTAGGTAGATATATCATGCAAGAGGTGGGGTAATTTTCTCAGTGGAGTCGGCCCCTGCTGACCTATAAAATGCAGGTTTGAGGCACTTGTGCATTTGCTTCACTTTTCAGACCCAAAGGCTATATGTTCAATTCTTGTATGCAATCTATGTCCTTTACTCAGTTAACAAAAGAGGAATTAAAGGCCAAAACGCTATGCAAAAAGTCATACATGCCATGGTTTATTTGACCAACCTTGCATTTATAGGGCTTGATGTCCGAGTGGACGATCATGTGAGCCTTGAGAGTCTGTTTTTGGACGAAACTCTTGAAGCACATGTGGCACTGGTAGGCCCGTATGTTGGTGTGGATGAGGACGTGGCGCTTCATGTTGGCCAACAGGGTGAACTCACGACCACAGATGCGACACTTGTGCTCCTTCACCCCCTGAAGAACGAGAGAATGTGGAAGTAGCGGTGTGAGAAATGTGGCAAACAGACCAGTGTGTCTGTCTGCTGAGAACTTTAGGTTAGTTTAACCTCTAAAATCTCACTGATCTTTAGGTTACCATCTTTTTGTGTCCCAACACTAAAGCTACTAAAAGTCGAATAAAAGATTAAAACTGGATGTTAAGAGGTTAAAAATAGCTCCAGGAGCCAGAATTTAAGGGGAAATTGCTTTGAGACAGCTGCCAAAACAACCTGTTAGGCTAGTGTCCAAACTCTCTCAGCCATCTTCACTGTCCAAAAATGTGCACTAGGAATAATGGAAATATCTTGATGTGACAGCAAAATTGATAACTCTGTTTGATGCCAAAAAAACATGCTTGAGCTTCCAACCCCTGTCAAAAAAAAAGAACATTGAAAAAATGCTGTCTTTTCTCGCTGTTCTCCTAATTAAACCTACTTTATGGGTGAGCGTGTGCTGTTTCAGATGGTGCGACTGGATGAACTCCATCCCACACTCGCTGCAGATGTACGGTCTGATGTCTTTGTGTTTCATCATGTGGTTCTGAAGCTGGCTCGGATACTGGAAAGTCTTCTGGCACTCTGCGCACCTGCGGGAACAGTATGTATACAGTTCATCTCTTTATGGAGCCAAATGGAGAACTGAAACATTAAAGCAGTAGTTCAACATTTTGGGAAATGTACTTCGCTTTCATGTGGAGTTAGACGTGAAGATCAATACCACACTCTTGTTTGTTCAATAAATAGGAAGCTAAAGCAGGCAATCATTTGGCTTTGCTGTTTCCATCTTTATGCTAAGCTAAGCTAACTGCAGCTTCATGTTTAGAGCACAGACATGAGAATGGTCTCAATCTTTTCATTTAACTTTCAACAAGAAAATGAATAGGGGTCCGACTATTGCTTAAAGGAACAGTGCGTAAGATTTAGGGGGAATTAGTGGTGTCTAGTGGTGAGGATTGCAGACTTTATCTTAATTTTATCTCTGATAACTTAAGATCCAGACATTTAGGAGGTTTTTACTATAAGCCACATTATTCGCAGAGGTCTCTTCCTCTTCAAAACAAACAGACCAAGTGATTAAAACTGGTAAAAGCACTGAATAAAGCAATTTCACTTTAAAAAAATCAGTGTTTTTCCGACGTTCTTGTCATGGAAGGGCTGCTAACTATGGTAGCCAACATGAAAAGGCTAGAACGTGAGAACTCGAGAGCGTGAATGGCCTTATCAAGAGCCAGTCCTTGCCTTGGTAGGTCCATTCTTGGCTACTGTAGTAACATGGCGGTGGAACATGGCATAAACAAGAACCCGCTCCCTATGTAGATAGAAACAGCTCATTCTAAGTTTTCAGGTGATTATACACTTAAGAAAAGATACTTAGATTATCCTCCATTTCCGCTAATATATCCCCCTAAATGCTACACACTGGACCTTTAAAATAAACTATCACTAAGATAACTTAAGCAAAGAAGAACTCACCTGTATAGGGTGGGGCCACGGTGGGCGGTCAGGTGCCTCTTCAGCTGTGCCAGCGTGGGGAAATCTAGACCACACTCCACACATACGTTCTCCTGTCCTTTCTCATGCTTCAGCTCATGGGCACGAAGCTCACTGGGGTAAGCAAAACCTCTGCCACACACACTGCAGCTGGACGAGAGGATAAAGTGTGTAAGAGATTAGAATAAAAAATGAGGATAGTTGAAAGTAAAAAGAACTGGTTATAAAACATCTACCTGTATGGCTTAACGTCACTGTGCTGCATCATGTGCCTCTTCAGGTGGCTGGTCTGAGTGAAGGCCTTGTGGCACACTTGGCACTTGTGTGGCCTCATGCCCTGGTGGGTGAGCAGGTGTGTGTGCAGGTGGCTCAGCTGCTTGAACAGCTTCCCACACAGGTGGCATCCATGCGGCTTGATGCCGTTGTGCCCCAGGATGTGCGTGACCAGGTTATACTTGGAGGTGTAGGACTTCTCACACATACGACACTTCCACCTTTTCTGGTCTCCACCTACGTCTACATAATAACTGTCATCCACATGGATGTTTAGACCTAGTTTCTCAGCGCTTGTCGTCCCACTGCGAGGAGGTCCCTCACGGCTGCGATGAGCAGGGCGAAGCTCCTCTCTTGGGTAGAAAGAACCAGGGGAGAGGTGCATGACGGGGCCAGGCATGAAGAAGGGGTATGGGAGGAGGCTGTGGTGCAGAGGTGGGAAGTAAGGAGGGTGGAGGAGGAGAGGAGAGGGAGGCCAAACTGGGGAAGGACTGAGAGGCTCCTGCTTCACCTGCACAGGTAGATTCATACCTGGTGATCTGGGGTGAAGCTGCAGTCTGTTCAGCTCAATCATACCAGGGATGGGTTTAGGAGACGGGGAGGGAATGGGGCGAGGTGGGAGGGAAAAGGGGATGTGGGAGAGGTGCACCGTCTTCTTACTGCTGCTCTCATCTGCCTCCTCTGCTCCCCCATCAGGAGATTCACCTCCCTGGGCGTCCATTTTGAAAGGAGTTCTTTTGCGTTTTTGGGATCCTTCCTTTTGAGCATAACCGGGGCTGAGCATGGGAAAGAAAGCAGGGGGGCTGAACGCACTGTAGGTGTCTCTGCTGGGTGATATGCTGGGGTATCGAGGAGGGGAGAATTTTGGGGGCTTAATGTAGAGTGGAGGTGGGCTTAGATAGAAACTGTGCTGAGATGCTTGTCTTAGCTGATCTCTGAGAGGAGGGCTTCTTGCTGGTGAGAAATTCACTCCGTCTGTTTCCATCTTCTTGCTGCGTTAAAGAGAGTATAAGAAGTGGTTACAGTGGTGGAGGCAGTATTTAGATCCTTAACTAAAGTAAGCAAGGCAATACAACATTTTACTGTTTACTGGATTATCTTATTTTATCTAATCTTATTTTATCAGTATTAGCAGCAAAATGTACTTAAAGTATCAAAAGTAAGGTGCTATTTCTGCAGGAAAAAAAGCCCCCGTGGTTGATGTATTTTATAAAATATTGCATTTATAATTGTTTATACAGATGCTTCAATGCACAAACAGCTGGTGATGATGGATCTAGTTTTTAACTCTTTCACAGACAGTTAGGCAATGTAGTCTTGTGCTTCCCAACCTATAGGGGTCGAGGCCCCTTCAAAGAGTCATAAGATGAATCTAGCAGCTGATAATGAGATGAGGTGATTAATGGATCAAAAAAGAAAAACAAATTTCTGCTACCCAAATTTGTATTTAATTTGTATTTTGTTGTTTAGACTTTGGACTGAATCTTTGTTTTTTGGTGAAATATTAACTCATTCTCACTCCCAACCTGTCAAATAAGGATGCTCGGTCAGGGGCCCCTTGGCATTAGATATTAACGCACAGAGGCAGTATCAGACGCAATGGGTGGCAGCTTTCACTGAGGAGCCTGCTGTACGTGTCCCGTATGAAACCAAAAGTCAATCAGGTTATTTTAATAACAGCATGGTGTGCTAGTATGTGTAGCATACTATGCTAGTGATGTATGTCATGCAACATTAGTAACAAATCATGCTTTTGTTGCCTAAACCTAAAAAAGTAAACCTACACATGAAGTGTTTAACCTATGTTCTCAGTTTCTTTTGAAAAGGGACTGCATGCATTTAACAAGTGGAAATTGCACAAGTTTATATTGAAAAGGCACAGTGCCTGTAATGAGCGTGAATTGACACCCCATCCCAGAGCATCCAAAACCGACACTGGAGGGGTACCCTGGGCATCATTGTTTGATGTGTAGGGCCACAAGAGTCGATATTTGAAGAGGGAGTCAGAATGTGTTGCAAATATTGGATACTTTTACTGTTTTGGGTCTTGAACATTTATTTAAATTAAAGCACCTGAGGAGTTTTTAAAGGGGAAATGTTTCTTTGGTAAGACTGCTAAAACACAACAAGGGGTCCCTCTTTGGTTACAAGAAGAGTTAGGAATCCCTGGTTTACATCGTAAATGTTAAGATCCTCATATGCCTTATTATGTTAAATCTTAATCTGAAAAGTAACCTTTGCTGTCAAAGCTTTGGACAAAAGTTCATCCAGTGACTGCTTGTCTGGTTTCTATTTATGATATGAAACTGTTCCTCTAAAGGTTCCTGTGGAAGGTGTGTAACCGGACACCCACACCTTTCAGTGTTCAACGTGAAACCTTTCACTTCTTTCTTTCTCACAGATCTCCCCCTCTCCTGAAAGTAGGAAGTTATCTGTGAAATGTTCACCTCTACCTCCCGCACACTTTTCGCTTCTCCATGTCTTTTTTTCTCTCCTCTGTTCATCTTTTTGTTTTTTTGCACTGATAGCAAGGAAGAACTTCCCCTTTTCTCCTCCGCTGATAGTGCTACGTGATGTTTGAATCTGTATCTCTGCGAGCAGCCCAAAGTCTGAGGGAGATTAAATAACTGATAAGCTTAAAACTGTGATATGTTGAGATGTCTTGTAGCTATAAACAACATGCCTACTGCAGTCTTTGTGCATAATTTAGTGAAGATGATGGTCATGGGTGAAAAGATGATGATACTCAGAGGGGAACTGTCTTACTTCTGCGTGACATCTAAATGTGCTTAGCACTATTGTGCATATCTATTCTATTCCTGTAAATAGCTCAGTGATTATCAGTGAGAACTGCTGAGATCCATATCAATCCACTGTAGCATGACCACTATAGTTCTACTTTACTGTCTGCTAAAGCTGCAAGTCATGATTAGTTTCACTGTCAATTATTTTCTGAATTAATCAATGAGTTTTTTCATAAAATATGAAAAAAATATTTAAAAAATGTCAATAACTGTTTCCCAAAGCATAAGTTGACGTCTTCAAACCCAAAGATATTCAGTTTACTGTCAGAGAGGAGTAAAGAAACCAGAAAATGTTCACATTTAAAAAGCTGGAGTCAGAGATGTTTGACTGTGTTTTGACTTAAAAGTTACTTTAACCAATTAATTGATTATTAAATAAGTTTGTGATTTATTTAATACTTGGCAGCTAACTGATTAATCGTTGCAGCTCAATCGTCTGCTGCTCCTGTTGGCTATTGCAGATGCTGCAGCTACTCATTCTTTATAGTAACAAACATAAAATACACATATTACCACTTGTAGGACTGCAATTAAAGATAATTTCATTGTTGAGTAATCTGTTGATCATTTTCCTGATTAACTGATTAGTTGTTTGGTCTCTAAAATGTCAAAAAATGCTGAAAAACTTCAATCTGTGTTTCTCAAAGCCTAAGATGACGTCCCCAGATGTCTTGTTTTCTCCACAACCTCAGTTTACCGTCATAGCAGAGTAAAGAAATTAGAAAATATTCACATTTAAGAAGCTGGAATGTTTTACTTTTTTTTAATAAATTATTCAAACCAATGAACTGATTGTCAAATAAATTGGCCATTAGTTGACAATAAATTGATGAATTGTTGCAGCTATTTTGCCGGTTACATGTTTTATCCCTGCTAAAAGTAGAAGAAAAGAACCAAATTTTGATAATCTAATAGCTGCAATACAGAATATTTAGGTATTTTCGTTGAAAAATGTCTTACTCCATGACCAGAATACATCATTTTCTGTCGAGTGACTGTCTATTTTAGCTCCTAACATCCAGACTCACACACCTGCAGACAGCACAATATGACTGAATCACCTCTAAGTCATGTTGCATGTGGAAAAGATAATAGCAGCAAGTGAGGATGAAGAAGTTCAGGAGGATGAGATGAAGATCAGTGCAGAGATTACAAATACATTCACATTTATGTAATTCAAAGTGTCATTTTGTTCCTGAAAAAACATACTTTGCAAACTTACAAGCAGCACAGCACACTCTCTAAAACAGGGAATATTGCTAAACATCACTAAATGATAGAAGTACACAGGGACATTACAAGTATTTGGATGTAATTTAGTTATTAGTGATATATAGAAAGCGTAAACCACATGCAGAATGCAAGAAGAATGTTATTCTGCCTCTTCCAAAGATGTTACTTAAATCAATGTTTCCCTTTCGGCCAGCTTCAAACACTCTCCTGGATATGATCCTGCTCTTTTACTGTATCCTCTTCACTTCTCCCAATCAAGGTGCACTGTGCAGAGACCCCGGGCTAAACTTTGCCACACCATGCATTCCAAACAATCCATTAAAAACAGAAGCCCCTCCTCATATGCCAGCCAGTGCCATGTAAGTGTGTTTGTGTGAGGCTACAACGAAGTCTGTGTGTGTGTGAGAATGTGTGTGAGTGTGTGTGGAACTTACCAGTTGAGTGTAGCAGAGTGTGTTTTCTGTGATGCTGTTGGCTGAAGTGCTGCTGCAGCTGATGCCGTTGTACCTGTACCTGCGTTTCTCTCCCTCCTGCTCGCACTGCAACTCTCCTGACAATGAGCCGCCCGTCCACGGATAGCATTTGAAGTGACTTAAGAAAGAGAACAGGAACAATCACTTTGTTCTCATTTTTCAGATGAGTACCTTCGGAGAGAAGGAAGGAAGGGAGGGGAGAGGAAGTCAACAAGCCTAGTGCCTTCCTGCAGAAAAATAAGGAAACACTAGATAGACATCTCCATTTCTCTATGAAATAGGGATTTGCACAGCTTTTGGAGGAATGGCGAGATCTGATGTTGCACAAGAAAACAATGCAGTTTGAATGTTTAACAGCTGTGAAGTGGTATGTGGCAATGGGGGATGATCCCAGCTCTTTCACTTTGTACAGCACAAAGAAATGCATGTTATAAGTGACTGATTTCACATGTGAAAATTAACAAAAAAATCTTTCATGTTTTTAGATTGATTGAAAAGATTTTAACAGCTATAAGTATTATAATTAAATATATTTCAGGTATTTTATGTTCCAGCAGATACATTTGATAGTTAGCCAGTCATGTGCTTAGCATTTAAAACATAAACACTAATGCAATCCAGTAAAAAAGAAAAGAGACAGCAGAAAAAGTCACAAACACCAACAAACACCACCTCTGTGAGCTTTTATTGCTCAGATTGTATTTCTTTCTTTTCTTTAAGTGGTCATTTTGGAGCCTTGTTTGTAGTAGTGTTATAACAGACTGGATACCAAGTGTTCATGTTCTTGTGTCTACCTCCTGTAAAAGCATGACAGATGAAACAGCGTCAGATAATGAAAAATGAACTCATACACAGGTTAAATGCGTCCACACAGCCACTAGGAGGCAAGAGTGGCCCATTGTCTGACTGACACTTGACACCACTTCATGACAACAACTTGTCTCATTTGTCCTCACATGGTGACTGCAGTTATGTTTTATAATCTGTCTGTGAGAGTGAAATCTAAATAGAATAATGTCAGTCCACGTCTGAATGTCCCAGTCCTCCCTTTTGGAACAGAAGTTGTGGAACAAAGACGATTATGAACTTATTTTTAATTGAGATGAGGTGGCAGTTAGTGGATCAGGAGGGAGCAGCAGTAATTGAGCTCATATCATTGGAACGGTGAAACTGTCTTTAATGGGCTGTGGCCGATCATTAGCTGTGTTAATTAGCTCATGAGTCCAATTAACCTCAGACCTAGACAATGTGTGTGTCAATTCCTGTGAGGAATTAAGGATTTTATTTATAGAAAGGGATATTTGTAGGCGTGTGTGTGTGTGTGTGTGTGTGTGTGTGTGTGTGTGTGTGTGTGTGTCCACGTGTCCATTTTTGTCATGTTTGTTCACAAACATCAGGCTCAGCAGGCCGAGGTTCAAAGATGGACTGCTTCTCATAACCTTTGACTTTTTCCACTTTCCCCCCCAACTGTAGTGAAAAGATACTTAAAGGGACAGTTCACCCCAAAATCAAAATACAGATTTTCTCTCTTACCTGTAGTGCTATTTATCAATCTAGATTGTTTTGGTATGTGTTGCTGAGTGTTAAAGATATTGGCTATAGAGATGTCTGCCTTTTCTCCTTTATAATAGATCTAGATGGCACCTTCTTGGCGCCTCCTGTTGGAGGTTTTCCGGGCACATCCAACTAGTAGGAGGCCCAGAATACATAGAGTAGACCCAGGACATGTTGGAAGGAATATATATCTCATCTGGCCTGAGAATGCTTTGGGTAGGCTCAGTCACTGGTATTTGTTCATTTATAAAGCCAAACTGGTTAAACTCCCTTCATGCATTTGCACTTTGACTCAACAGATATCTGACAGTAATTATAGTCTGCGATCTGAAGATTTAGTTTTATTGTCTGTTCCTTATGCACGGAAAGAAAGCTTTTATGTGCTGTGCTCCTCTCACTTGGAAGAACCTTCAAAGAGGTTTGAAACTACATGAATTGGTCTCTCTACCTGAATTAAAAGCTCTCATAAGTGCAAAGATGAATGAGTTGGTTGGGTCTTGTCTTTGTAGGTAGGTGTTGTAATATTTAACATGTTCCTGTGTGTGTCTTTTATGTTTTTTTAATGTGTGGTCGTTTGGCTGTAACTTTTTGTGTGCTGCTGTCTTGGCCAGGTCTCCCTTGTAAAAGAAATCGTTGATCTTAACGGGACTTACCTGGTTAAATATGGGTTGAATAAAAGGGCTGTAGGTTGGAACTGAGCCCAAGGCCACTTCGGCAAGGACAAGGTTTTTGTGCATGGGGCGCCTGCTCTACGAGGTGAGCTAATGGGCTTCCCAAGCCTAGTCTCGCCACCAGACAATCAGAGATCTCCGCCTTCTGATAATCTGGGGACACTCCTTTCTAAAGTGTGTTTAACACACAGGAGAAAACGGCCGGCAACAAAGCAACGTCTCTTGTATTTTTTAAAGGTCACTCCCTCCCAGAAATGTGCACTCCCCCTTTTCTCGTCAGCAAGGACACAAACACACAGAGAGGCTTGAAAATGGATGCCGAGAGATTTAACTCCGTTTTATCAAACATGCGCTCAGTCCACAAGATTGTGGAAATGAAGGACTTACAGCGACTTTGTTTAAAACTTTTAACGCAGTTGGACTATGTTTACGAGCACAAGAGTTCAGCGAGCCACCGAAGGACCGCCCTGCAGATTTACTATTGGTTCTGCAACGTAGGGAGTTTTTTTAAACTCTGAAATTGTATCCACCCATCTAAACACAAAATCAGGGAGAAAGACATCAGTCTTTAGTTAAGCAAAGCGTCTAAAGACTGACTTGTGAGTCTACCCCAAGCCAAAGAGCTTGTTGTGAGCAGTTTCATGTCGACTGAGCTAGCTGACAGTACAGCTCAGCCAAGGAGGACTCAATTAATGTCTAACATTACATCTCATGCTGTCACGAGCAGGAGCCTTTCATGAGTAGATGCACATGTCCTTCTCTGCCGTGATATAGTTGGCGGGTGTACTTCAGTAGGAAGAAAATAGTTCCTATATGAAATTCCTCACAACAAGGTCTGTGGATTATCTTGAGTAACTGGTTGATGACAACAAGAGGAGTGCCACCTAGTTCCATTATATTGGAGAGAAGGCAGACATCTCCACGGTTAATATCCTCACCTCTCAGCAACTCACACCAAAACAATCTAGATTAATAAATAGCACTACAAGTAAGAGGAAAAACATGCATTTTGGTTTGGGAATGAACTGTTCCGTTGATAAAGAAGACCGCTTATAATGTACTTCCTTCTTTTTTACTTTAATAAAAGCTGATCAAAGTTGTACTACACTCGTGCCCACTTATGCTCTGAATAATTAAATCTCCCCATTCACTTCCTGACCTCTCTGACTTTCCCGTCATCTCTAGCATGCACGGTCACGCACAACAAGCCCTTCTGTAATGATTCTCAATAGCAAGACGCAAACCAGGCCGCAGAGCTGCCTGGCCCTTTTGACCCGCGCTGCCCAGTGGTCAGCTTCATTTCCGGAGGTGACAGTAAGTAAAACGTGGCTCATTAAGGATCTCTAAGTGGCTTTTGGGTTTCTGTGTCACTCTCAGAAGAAGCTCTGGAAGTATATAAGACATGTGTGAGGAGCCAAGAACAGAAGAAGCATCAAGGAGCATCTGAACTCAACACTTCTCACTACTGCTCAAAAAGAGATTAAGCAACAGGTGAGGTTTATTTCTGCAGATTTGTATGTCTATCTTTCATTTTGTGCTCAGTGGACTTTTTGTTTTGTATGTTTGGACACTAACTAGTTTCTTTCTTTCACTTTCTCAGTAGAAATGACCGGAGCTGCTGTGTCCGCGTGCCTATTTTTTCTCCTTTCTGTATGTTCAGCGTGTTACATCTCTAATTGTCCTATTGGTGGGAAGAGGTCCATCATGGATGCTCCTCTGCGCAAGGTGAGCTGCTTTAACTTTTCTTTGCAAACTGACAAATGTTTAATAGATTCAAAGAGTTTTTTCAAAGTCCATTTTTTTATTTACATAGGTGTGCGGAAAAGATTTTAGTGTTGGTATTCTGGTTTACATTTGTAGTCTGAATAGTATTTACCAAACACATCTGAGTGGCAGATAAACAGTCCGTGTGGAGAGGTGGAAAGCATTGGCTGAATCGGCTGTCAATTGATGACAATTCAGCTTTATTTTAGCTTTTTTTGAAAAGTGTATCTGCATTCATATGCAGGTATCTTTTTATAGGGGTAGGTCAACGTGATGGGTGCACTCTGGCTACCCGAGGTCTTCCAAAATATTGGCTGTGTCCCCCAGAGGCTTATCTTCCGCAGACTGGGTTCTGAGATTGTTATCTTTACAGTATACCATACCCTTTATCCTTACATCTTTGATTTTTATAAGGAACAACTCACACACAAAAAAACCCTTCGACAGGGATGAAAGCTAAAGGAAGAAATGTTAAGAGGAGCAACAGAGGAGAGATACCACTTCCAGGACAGACAGACATGCAATAGAAGAGAAGAATAATGGAAAACATTTATAGAAATAATTATAGACCATTTCAAACCGGACAACATAAACATTCTAAATGGGTCCCTTTGTATTTCCTGTTTGAATGTATATTAATGCAGAAGCTGACAGGAAGTAAACAGGGACCAAAGTTGTTGCCCTAGCAACAGAATAGCAATGAAACGGTCCATAGTAAAATAACATTAAATATACAGTTGTTGGTGACATGTCAATGTACCTCCTAGAACAGTTGTAGATAAAAGTTTGGACTGAAATTGTCATGCAGACAGAAAAAAGGGAATAAAAATATGAAATTTCATTTAGAAGAACTAAACAGACAATAATAATTTATCGTTTCTTCCACCAGTGCATGTCCTGTGGCCCTGGAGACAGGGGCCGCTGCTTCGGCCCCAGCATCTGCTGCGGGGAGGGCCTCGGCTGCTTGCTGGGCTCCCCGGAAACAGCTCACTGCATGGAGGAGAACTACCTGCTCACCCCCTGCCAGGCCGGAGGGAGACCTTGTGGATCTGAGGGAGGACGCTGCGCTGCTTCAGGACTCTGCTGTGATGCAGGTCAGTCAAGTCTTTAGTACACTGG